TCAGTCTATTGAGTTCAGTCCATTCTCTAGGACCATTCCGGGAAAACTTAGGGTAAGTGTTCCCAGGCCGAATCAGTTTCTTTCCGACTTGTTTTCTCGTTCTGATTGTGAATCTAACCTTAGTTTCTTGATAAAATGACCGGATCCATAATGAACGTGGGTTCGGTTTTTGTTAAGTTCCAAAGGAACAAAAAATTCTGTGACCAAACCTTGGTCCGTTCTGACCCGACCTAGGTACGATCCGCGAGCATTGTTCTTTAGATTTTTCCTTAAGAACGTAGAGGCTTGAACATATAACTAGGCCAATTTACTTATGCAGAATTCTAGTCCGAAAGATCTAGAGAAAGTCTAAGGCAAAACCGCGATCACTCSCTAAGTAAAAGGTGAGTCTTTGGGTAATGTTTTAACGTGTGTTAGATGAGTAGGACACACGTGAATGCTTGTTGATTATTTATATGTTTATAGCCGCAAAGGTTCTTGCGGTGAAAATGTTTACACTTGCTTGAATTGCCTAAGTACATTACTTGAATATAAGTTAAGCATGAAAGCATGAAGCGAATTACAACTTTATATCATAACTAAGTSYRAAAAACTTATAATGAACGGCATGTTATTCTCTTGTGGCCGTGACTTAACTAATAAAGATTTTGGTTAAGCAACGAAGATACAAAGAGACGGGATTGCAGCCTAGGGCCGTGTGTTGCATGGCTATTCAAGGGTTTCGTGTGGTTCCATAAAGATTTGGTCGCCGGAATGTGAGTATTCTAGGGCCTTAACCTTTGTGGTTTTGKTSTGAGRGATGCCTCTAGATACRCGTGAAGGGAATAGTCATGGCCGAAGGCCTTATGGAAAAATTATCATTAATGCATAACTTATCATATCTATCATGCATACTTGCGTGTGATTATTATTTTGGGTTTTGGCTGGGAAATGATTATTGAACGTATAGGGGAACCCTAGATTCACTGAGCAACTAGTGCTCACGACTCAAGTTGTTTTGCGGGCAACCTTTAGCGGGTAGATCATTGGGAGCACATGAATGAACGTTAGAAAAATTAGTAGTAGATTTTCTTGCTTCGCGTAAATTATTAACATTTAATATGTATATGATCGTTTTGAGTATTAGACTCATGATCGTGTATAATTGGTAATCACGTTTGAAAACCTATATAAAAAGATATATAAAAGTATGGTTTTGTGCAACGAACTCAGGTTTCATATGATATTAGTCCTTGTCCGGATGAACCAACCATCAGATATTTCTTGGGTTGGCAAACCTTGAGGTCTTTCCGATGGGGATGAACGCTTAGAAATCTTGTCTAGAGATTTTGGATGTGTTCCGAGAACCTCTGATCGGACATCTGAGTGTTCGTCAATAGCGTTCCCGGTCTATAACTGATCGGGGGCGTTACAACTGCAAAATCTATTAGCCTACGGTTTTTCTCGTAGGCAACTGTAGCAAAAAGTAGATTAGCTGTTCGCTTAATGCAGGCCACGTAATGTCTGAGCAGGCGGCGACATTAAATGCGAAGATTTGGCAGGATACGCATAGAATTACATAAAGGTTTATGTAATGTGTATGTATATTCAGCAGCACATATGCTATCCTCTATATAAAACATTAACCGGCGAGTGAAAGCTCATCACCAACAAACAAACTAGTAAGCCACCATTGCTCTGATTCATCAGATACCGAAACCGTTGACATCTGAGAATATAAAAAGCCACCATTCACCTACCTAATCAAGGTTGGTCCCCACAATCCAACTTCATACTTTCTACTTTCTGTTAAGGAATAAAACACTTCTATATACTTCGGCTGACTATATTAATGTACTAGAAAGAGATAGGACATTAATTAGCTTGAGTTATGTCCTATGTTGTCGCTCTTTTTCTCTATGTCGGCTAAATTAATATGCTCTTGTCGTAGATGGAGAGACTCGTTTGGCTTTTAAGAGGTCGTTTGCCGGCGATATTACCAGATCTCTATGAAAACGGCGGCGCCCCTACGAATATCAAAATAGACTGCGATGTTACTCTGTTCATGGCTGTCCGTTTTAGCTACCCTGAGCTAACAATGTGCGTAACTGTTGGTGCTGAGGCCGTTGCTACTTACGAATTCCAGTGTAGAACCTCTTTCACTGTTGACTGGAAAAATTATCTTGTCCAACATGAAGACGAAGAACAAACTCTCTGGACCTAGCTGAGTACTAATGTACCAATCCTTGAATCTCTAGAATGTTTTTAGTATAATTTAATTCAAATGAGAGCTAACTTCAGATTTACTTAACAACATAACTGATAACGAGGAGAACTATTCCCGCAGCTCATCGTGCTCTGGAGGAAATATTCACCGAGGCAGAGATGGTAGTCATTCATAGGGTTTACTTGGAAACGCTCTACTCTAACCCGGTTGCAAATGTTCCTAACCTTTTGGAACATAACAACAGTCGCTCCGTTGACCAAATTATAATACTTGATGGGGGTGAAGATACTCCAATGGAAGCTGCAGGACCTGAGAATACACCACTTACCATTCATGCCGGGGAACAACAAGGTAATGACTTACGTAAGAAGAAATAAACACATAATATCTGCTAATTAGCTTTATAACAAATACTTTTATTGGTAGCCGCTACCTAGATTAACATATGTTACCTTTCTACATGACCCGCTAACACAGCAGATGCTGACTTGCAGTTGACAGAGACTCCTATCAACAACGTAAATCACGAGTCTGGGGATGCTGGTCTAAATCTTATTGACTCTTACATGCAAGCAGATGTGGAGGAAAACTTTGGCGATGTTGATGGCTCTAGAGCATACTGGGAAAGCCTCCTCACGCAAGGCAATGAAGACACACTTTTGTACTGGGAGTTTTGTACAGGGAAGACTATGCTGTGAACAATGGACCCCCACTGGGTATGCCACCTGCTAGCCTCCTCATAGTCCTTATCTCCAAAGATAGTGAAAACTATTCTTCTACCGGTTCTTCAAGTGAAATATGTTTGATCGCTGATTTTAAGTCGAGCTTGAAAAAGCCCTTCTTGAGGCAGCTGCAAGGGTCCAAGCGTTAAGGGATTCACATCCTCAACCATGTGTACCTCGACCTCAACCTATATCTCAAGGTCGTATACACTTTTGTTCAAAGATGGCATCCAATTGTATCCATAGCCATATAAGTTACTGGGTATCTAGTAACTGATACTCGTACTCATATGAGTTGTTTATATGACCATATATTTTTTAACGTATCTATTACTATCCAGGAAATTTTGAAGCGGCCAGAGTTCCCGTTAATGATGGCCTAGCTCAACCACCGATATCTACTAACGATGTGCCTCTCTCTCCAAAACCATACCTGGGTCTTATGCTGACTTGCGGCGCCCATCAACAAGTACCGAGCCCAAAGTCAAGGACCATGAGACAATCGACACATCCTCTGATGAAAGCGAGAATCTTGGTGGGTTTTAGACAAAATAGTGATGCATAACTATGATATTGTGTAATATATATAATACATGATAAATTAGAAACTTCTGTCAACTTTCAACGTCCACCTAGGGGATATATACCTCATCTCCCATGTTTTGGACTTCGAAGGTTTATTATAGCGGCTAGGAAAAACGTTTGCTTTTTTGTTGGGCTTATGTAGAATTCCACTTTTGTAGGGTTTATCTTGTATTTGGATTTCCTTAATGTATGATCTATGTGTCTTGTTTGTTAAATGAATACCACTTAATTATTGTTATGATTGGTAACAAATAACTAACAACAAAGTTTAAATTGTAGGAGACCATATTAACGACCTTAATAACATTTATGTGGGGATGGTATTCACAAACAGTGATGATTTTAGACAACACATGGCAATCTATGCTTTACAAAATCAATTCCAGTTTCGAAACTCAAAGTCAACCCCAGCTTTGATGGTCCTTAAATGTTGGGGGAACCTCTTGTCCATGGATGGTCTATGCAGCTAGGATAGAATGTTCTAATAAGTACAAAATTAGAAGCATCCTCAGCCCTCAAAACTGCACTAATGAACGTGTTGGTAATCAAAGACATGCAATAACAATTGTTATTGGGGAACTGCTTCTGTCTAAGTATGTGGGAAACCGAACCGAGCCACGACCAACTAAGATAAGAGACATGATGTGCGGAGATCACGACGTACGTATATCTTACGGGAAGGCTTTGAGATCTAGGGAGTTAGCAATGGATTCAGCAAAGGGTTCAGCTGACCAATCTTACAACTCACTACCATAATACCTTCAACGTCTAGTTGTGTCCAACCCTGCAACACTTGTGAGCCTAGAAACAGTTCATGACAGACGTGTGGGGCAAC